TGTTGCCATGTAAACAAACAAAATGGCGCAGATCGCCCTATTTCCCGCCAAAACCACATCGTAAATATCACTCAAAAAACAATTTCTTACGGTGGAAACTTAACAAAAACGGGTTAATAATGTACCCAAATTGACACTTAACAAAATACATCACTTTCATCAACTTAAATAACCGGTTTACCACACAAATATGTAATAAACTGTAACACAAATCCTAGCCCAACCTACCCTCAGCAATCCTCACTTCAGTGTGAGGGGAAAGCGGAAATGACATACAGGAAGTAGAAAACGATGTGCAACGGGAAAGTGTTCCCACTAGAAACATTACTCAAAAATATTAAGGAAACAATCTCATAAAGATAAAATTCACAAACTATTGTAAATCGTAATTTATAAACTAATAATTATTTATACACATTCTTAACTCCGTTACATTAGCAACAGCTGTTTTTATGACAGCTTCAGCAGGTACCAGTAGGATATGTACACAGCAAATTTCTGGAGTAAAATAATTTGTAGTTAGACAAAAAAGTGTGAAAGGTTTAGATTTTGGGAGTTTATTATATTATTTAGACTACCGTTTGTGTTAAGGGATACTCGTGGGCGGAGTAATATTTAGGGGTTCAGTCACTGGGTGTTCAGGAGCGTGACACAACACTGCCCTGGTGTTTATTCACAACTGCTCTGCTGCCGCGACCACGAGGCTTCACTTGGATTCCGTCTCGAGGAAGGTAAGTGCTGTTTTACATCTCAAACTATATTTTCTGTCATTGTAAAGTTAATGTGTTTATTTTCGCTAAGACGAACTTAGCAAGTTTAACTAGCTGCTGAATTGAATGCTTGCCCTAGACCAGGGGGGCCCAACCTTTTTTGAACCGAGAGCTACTTTTAAAGTTGCCAGTCTGCCGAGATCTACCAGTCCAAATAGAGAGGCGTAGCCATTACTGACAGCCTACTACCAGGTATAAATACACAGTTTCTACTTGTATAAAACTGACCTTTGTACAATTAATACTTAATACTAATTCCTGCAGATCCTTTATCTTACCTCTTTCTAATCTACACACATACAAGTATTCAACTGAAGTTACACAACAGTGTTGTTGATACAGAGTTGGAGTTTATTCACATGTCACACTACAGTGGTCATGTTTTCAAGAAACATTGAACAGTGCTACCACATATGACACAGGACAAAAAGAAAAGACTCTGAACCCTTTCTTTGCCATTATATACAAATAGTGTTGCTACAAAAATATAAATTAGGCTTACTAATAAGACAACTCAGATCTGAAGCTACACAGGAATCTGCTGCCAAAGTGCAATAAAAAAAGATTATCTAAAAAATGTATAGAATCAAACCCTTTTTTTGTTGCATTTTAGTAGAGTATAAAAATAAATGCCTTCAAAATAGGATGCAAGCAACTCTAGTTTCTTAACCTGAATTGATAATAGACTATAATCAATTTAAGTTTGCATTCTTATACCATTTTGTACAATAATTATAATGAATAAGTTCAAACTTACAGCTGATTAATAACGGTATCTAACTTTAGTTTTTATTATATCAAAAACCTGTTGAAATGCTACTGTTATTTTTTACTGTCCCCAAAAAGCGCATCGGCAGCCTCCAGGAATGCTTCTTTCACAACTTCGCCGTCTTTGAAAGACTTCATGTGTTTCGCAAGAACGTGACTGACACGATAAGATGCTCTGGTAGCAGCCTTGCTCTTGTTGTTGGGCCTGGTGAAAATTGACTGCTGTGCATTTAGCTGTCCTTTCAGGCCCCTCCCCTTTTGGGAGCGTAGGGCAGAATTAGGCAATAGAGTCTGGCTGCAGACCGCAGCAAGGAGGCGGATCGTATAGGGGCGGATAGTATAGGGGCGTTTCCTAAAGGGTTATGAACCCCGCCCCCACGTATTTCTTAAAGGTATATGACGCTCTCTGTTTCTCATTTATTTTAATGCTTTGAATGAATCATAAACGAACTTTGAAAAATAATAATTATAATTAATTTGCATAAAGAATGAAGAGTATACAACCCACAGAGAAGACAAATTCATAAATTGTAGGCATATCATTTTTCACTGTTTGTGCAGTGGTAGTAATTATTATTCAAATCAATTAACTATGTTTTATGGAAGATATTGCTGTATATCATTTAACAACATGAGTAGAGGTTTCTGTACACCTAAAATACTGAAGTTTAAGTTACTGTCCTGATGTGTATCATTCATTTGTTCATGTTGTGTCTGGTGGTAAGATTAATAAAATAATAAAAAATATATACAGTACATACAAAGAGGAAAGTCTTTATTAAACAAACATTGTATTCTTGGAAGGTGCCTCCAGCATCATAGAAACAGTCAATGCTGCAGAATCCTGCCAGCTCATCTTTTCTGATGATGCCATAACTAATGTTACATAATTATAGAAGACACATCCGAAGTGTTATTTTTACATATTGATTAGCAGCCGACATTTACTGAAAGGATGCGTCCGTCTCTCGTCTGGTTCATTACAACTAGTAGTTACAAACTGTTACAGTTACAACCTTAAATCAGTACCGCACATCTTATTACTCAATTCAACCAACCAAGCTAGCCATGTTGTCTATCCGAATCCATACCATATTATTTGATTAAGTTACAGTATGTAGGGCAGGCCTACTTATATTTCCAAGATAATACAACAGTACACAACAGTACACTAGCATCATGCTAAGTGCTGGTTAGCATCACAGCATATACGCTAACCTTAGGTCAATTAGATGATCAGCTTTGGTAACACAAATCAGTATTGTTACCGAGCCTGATAATCTATTGACCTATCTAAGCTTAACGTTATTACAACAGTAGAGTAGGCCTGGTTGCAAACGGGACTATACTGTAGGCCAGTGGTTCTCAAAGTGGGGGGCGCGCCCCCCCAGGGGGGCGCAGATGCATGACAGGGGGGGCGCGAGAGACCAGGAGGAAAAATGGTTATTACAAAAAATATATATATATATTACAAAAAAAAAAAAAAATCATATTTTGAAAAATTATTGATTCGAAAATAATATGGTACAGTACTATTACGTCTGGGTCTCTGTGTTTCATTAAAGCTCGGCTCTGTGTGTGTGTGTGTGTGCGCGAGCGAGAGAGAGAGAGAGAGAGAGAGAGAGCGCACCGGTACCGGAGATCGTTGATGTTAGCTTCTGGTGCTAGCGAGCTACGCTAACGGATATAAGGAGTTTTTTCAACAACAAAGTGGAGGAGAGTCCTCTCCTGTCAGACTGAGAGGCTCAGTGAGCTAAAGGACTCTCAGTGTTATCTCAGTGGGTCTCAAATGTTTTGGTCACCATTAATGTAAACAATTATTTCCGAGGCACACGTTTATATGATCATTATAGTTATAAAAAAATAAGAGAATACATTAAAAACAGGTATGAAATACTATATGACATTAAAAAATGTATAAAGTTTAAAAGGGTGATTTGTAAAATATCCATAAAGAAATAGTAAATCTGTTTACAGTTCTGTGTTGAGAGATGTATCCAAAGATCTCTTCATTTTGCTCTCAAAGTGCACCAGATTGATGCTTTTAACTTCAATATTTAAAAATAAATCTTCCCGGGGGAGCTTGCCCCCGGACCCCCCTACAGTATGTGAGGTCCACACACCACCTATAAAAATAGCACTTTACCCCTGCTTACAGCTATATGCCGTGAGCTGATTATCGAGCCTTCATTGTAACAGTCGCGGGTACATTGTGTATATGCGTGGGGAGTGTTGCAGTAGAACATTCCTCTGTAGCGACCGGTACATTAATGGGAAACCCTAAATGTTTGAGCACCCTCTATGAAACGTCAAGCTACCCCACAGCACCCCCAAAATAAATCTCTGGCGCAGCCACTGAGCCTGACTATTTGTGTTGGGGGGGCCCGACTTTTTTTTTTCTCCAAAGGGGGGGCCTGACAGAAAAAGTTTGAGAACCACTGCTCTAGGCCAACGTGTCTATAGCATCATGCTAAGTTAGCATTTAATACCACAAACATTTTTACCACATACAACTATTATTTACTTTATTAACGCTTAACGAGGTTGGACAGTCGATGTTGTACTTTGATAACGAGACAATTGTGTGTTAAGAAAAATGACATTACAATAAATATAAACATGCATCTCTGGAAAATACTATTACCGCTGTTTCAACTTGTTGTTCGGCCATCGTGAAAGAACGAATGACTTATTCTGCGAGGATTTATAAAAGCAGCTGGAATCCCTTAAATTGCATTACTGCCACCTACATTATGTATTTCTGCTGAGTGTCATTATTCTATTGGATAAAAAAAGTTAGGAAACGCCCCTATACGATCCGCCCCTATATGATCCGCCTCCTTGCTGCGGTCTGCAGCCAGACCCATCTCGAATTAGGAGGGAATTCCGTCTCGTCGCGTTTGTGCTCCTAAATTACTCTTCTTCAATAAAGCCACGCTCGCATTGCAGATGAGACAGATGGACTTTGAATTGGAATAGATACAAAAATAATCATCCTCCCTCTCGGAGTGAAAATTATATATTTTGGGCTCTTTTTCTTCTGCCATAATTGCGGTCTTGTGTGTGTGCGGACTGTCACTCCTGTTGACACGGACAACGTCAGCGAAATAGTGCCCACTGCCCACCAGCTACGCCCCGACACATGGGGTCACGCCGGCCAATCACAAAGCTTTGATGCGCTCAAGTGCATTATTCTGGCACAGGAAGATTATGTCATAGGACATTAACGATAAAACCGAATATTGTTGTTCTATTTTTAGACATATCTCGCGATCAACTGGGAATCTCTCCGCGATCGACCGGTCGATCGCGAGACGATCGTCGAGACGTTTTGAACATGGACATGATTTAGTCTAATGCAAATTAACTTTAGTCGTCATATCTGTTTCTTTTGTGTTAGCTTAAAGTTTAGTTTGTTGTTCTTTCAATACCGACAATGCCTTTTCCTTTGCATTAAACATTAGACTGAACAGCTACGACGGTACCGGACGAGTCCCGCGACCTACATTGAGGGAATGTGGACGAGGTAACGTACTTTCGCGGGTATTTTTGTTGAGGTAACAGCTAGCTAGTAACACGACAAAGTAAATGGCGTCTTTATAAGGTGAAAAGAAAACGCGGATGATCAAATAAAAGAGTAGAAAACAGGTCGTTATGGTGCATCTCAGGTGATGTTACAGAGTAATCCAAAACCACTGTTACTTGTAGTGTAACTAATTACTTTCAGCAGTAAATAACGAAGTAAAGTAAGGGATACCTTCTTTTTTTTTTTAAAGTAACTGTTAACATCTAACTCATTACTTTTTTCAAATAACTACCCCAAAACTGATCTGTACTGTACATTACTTAACTGAAGAAGCTTTGTTATTGGTTACACATGATCTATTTTGTTAATTGTTTTTTGTTATTTCATATAAATTGTGTTTAGATGGTGGAGCAGGTTCTAACTTCTAAGCCGGCAGGGTTGACCGTGATCAATCAGTACGACGATACTGGGAGTCTGAAAGATTCCACCAGGCGATTAATGGTGAACATCATTGTAGCTCACATGTGTGAAAAGGAAGGGTAAGAGCCTTGGCTTTAATGGCATGAATTATTCATTTATAGAGGGAAAAATCTTATTGTAAACCAATTATTTTGCTTTTGCAGGAGAGGTGTAAGTACAGCGACGAAGGAGTTCCATGCCCTTGGGATTGTGTCACTTTTCCCATCTCTGAAGGACCCTTACTCAACAAAAGGATATGTGAGTTTGCGTTGTTGCCATTTTTTTTTTAAATAATGGTTGTGGTCACATTTAGGTTATTTGGTCTTTTGTGTACAAGCAGCAGCATATTTGCATTAGATCTATGAAAAACCTGATATTGTCTGCATTCCAACCAGAAGCGCTCTTTTCTTTTTAGGAACATTTCTATGACATTCAGAGCAACAAAGGCTTTCTCGAGTGGCGTGTCAAGACTGTGCAACGCCAATCCAAACCCACGTCAACATTCCATGACAGAGTGGAGCTAAAAGGAGGTCCAACATCATCTATAAGTTTTGGTTCCATAGACGACCTGCAAACAGGAGACTACTGTATGGAGGCCATGTCTCTTCTTCACCACACCACTGACCATGACCTAGTCCTCCAGAAGATGAGAGAAACTTTCCACTATCGTCAACAGATGATCCATGACCTACAGCAATCTGCCAACATACTTCAAATGTTTCCTCGTTTCTTGGACACTAAGGGACTGGTAGGTAACACATTTTGCATTTTGAATTCCCTCCTTGAAAAATACTTGGTTTACATTAAATGATTGTAATAATAATCTTACTTTCTTTTTTATTAGATTCTGCAAGATTTCTCGTTGATGTTCGGATCAGAAACTGCATCCAGGTTCCTGGAAAGATGGAACAGCGGTTTTAAAGACAAAGTCCTACAAGAGGCCAGGGACCTTAGAGAGACTCCTCTTCTGAAAAATCAGCTGAAATCTGTGCTGAATGAAGCATCTGATACCGATGAGCCAGGTACTTTCATACAGTCATACTCCATAAGTATAGTAATATGGTCTTGAATATCAGGATAGGGATCATTTCTGATATGTTCACTAAGAAAAGAACATTAACATTATTTTTCACTACTAATAGGGATGACTTGATGTGATGTCAATTGAACTTTAACGTTCAATTGTACATTCCTGTCTGACAATATCATCTACATCCTGTATGCTGTGCATCATGTTGTTGTGTATGCGGGGCCGTTAGGGACAATATTCAGAAATACCGTTCACAAACAATTATGAAACACTCTCACATAACAGAAACAAAAATCATTTAGAAACACACACATATTTGAAATGACACAACTGAATTTAAAAGTTAATCACATACACATAATGAAACGCTCTCATATACACCTGTGAAATGTGCTCTCAAAAACATGTGAAATGCTCACACACACACACACACACACACACACACACACACGTGAAACCCTCTCTCACACGTGAAACCCTCTCTCACACACACACTCTTGAAATGCTCTCATACACACATGAAATGCTGTCGTATACAACATAGTATGTTGTGTGGGAGAGCATTTGTATATGAGAATGTTTTATGTGTCGATACATGATTTTGGTCGATACATGATTTTGGTTTCAGTTATGCGTGTGAGAGTTGCATAATTATATGTGAATGGTATTTCTGAATAATGTCCCTGACGTCCCCTCATAGTGGTAACCTTGTCCATGACAATGTAGAAATGTGAAGATGATTTCCACTGTCTGCAGAGTGGGACAGCGACATGGCTTCTCTTCTTGTCTTGCTGCATCTTCTCACTCCACAACCAGCTGGGAGGAAGCGGGCCAAGAAAATCAGTGTCAGAGAGGCAATAGATCATCTGGAGATTTTTCACAAGGTTTGTCAAGACAATGCGTTCCAATTCCAAATATTGTGGTTTGTCCAATCATTTAAACTAATGGCTTATATGAATATGCTTTTCATTTTGTTTCAGTCCTGCAAGAGCATTGAGGATCACATGATGACCATTGAGGGAACCCACCAGCCGTATCTTCTGGCCACAGGCACTTCAAAGGCACAAGTTTTCAGCTTCTACATCGTCTTGGACAAAAAGCTTCTTCCTTGTCAGTCATGTACATCCTTGGGTGCATTTGATGAGCTTTTCAAGTCCCACTTCGCTTTTAGTGTGACATATGATGATGCTCTGTCCAGCCTGTACACATTTCTGCAAACTACTCTGTACAATATTGACATTGGCACAACAGTAGAAGCTCCAAAAGTCAGAGTTGAGAGCAAAGCTCTTGAACAAGCAGTAATTAACTAATGCAGCACAAATGTTTGGATGTTTCCTCTGTGCTTCATCTTTTGATACAGCTTTACTTTTGATCAGACACCTTAAACTAATTCATGGAATGTATCCTGGTAAAAACTTGAGACTAAATTGTGTGTATTAATAGTGTAATTGTGAATATCGATTTGGCCTCTTTGTTTGTACAAGCACAGATGAAAACATGCCGGTGTTCAGCAAAATAACCTGTATCATTCTTCACAATGGAAAAGTAATTTTTTATGTTTTGGTCGAGTATGAAACGTGTTTCCATGACCATTTTCATGCTTTTCAATTAAGTGAAAAAATCCCCAGGAAGATACTGGTGCATTAAAAAGAAGGATTAAGACATTTAAAACCTTTTGATCCCAAATGTTATATGGGTGTGATTCACATTTGTATGTTGTGTCAGAGAGTTGTATTATTTAATTTGCCAGTATTGATTGCTTAATGGAATGTGTCCTTTCCATTTGTTCTACATGTCTGTATATGCACTTGAATAACAGGTTTAAAGCATACCTCATACTAGGGCTGTGCAATTAATCGTATTTTAATCGAGATTACGATTATGGCTTGCGACGATTAGGAAAACAGCATAATTGACAAAATACGATTATTTTGCTGGGTGCGCTTTCGCCCCTCCCTAAAAGCCCACTCGGTCACGTGGGAGTGACATGTGTTGTGAGTGTTCAGCGCAAGCGAAGATGTCAGAACAAGAGCAGCAACTAGTTAAAAAGAAGGGTCGCGGGGAGATTCCCAGTCGATCGCGAGATGTGTCTAAAAATAGAACAACAATATTCTGTTTTATCGTTAATGTCCTGTAACATAATGTTCCCGTGCCAGAATAATGCACTTGAACGCATCAAAGCTTTGTGATTGGCCGGCCTCACCCCATGTGTCCGGGCGTGGCTGGTGAGCAGTGCACTAGTTCGCTGACGTTGTCCGTGTCAACAGCATGGATGGTCAACAGGAGTGACAGTCCGCACACACACAAGACCGCAATTATGGCAGAAGCAAAAAAGCCCAAAATATATAATTTTCACTCCAAGTGGGAGGATCATTATTTTTGTATCTATTCCAATTCAAAGTCCATCTGTCTCATCTGCAATGCGAGCGTGGCTTTATCGAAGAAGGGTAATTTAGGAGCGGCATTTCAAAACAGTGCACAAACGCTACGAGACGGAATTCCCTCCTAATTCTGCCCTACGCTCCAAAAGGGGAGGGGCCTGAGAGCACAGCTAAACGCACAGCAGTCCATTTTCACCAGGCCCAACAACAAGAGCAAGGCTGCTACCAGAGCATCTTATCGTGTCAGTCACGTTCTTGCGAAACACATGAAGTCTTTCGAAGACGGCGAAGTTGTGAAAGAAGCTTTCCTGGAGGCTGCGACGCGCTTTTGTGGGACAGTAAAAATAACAGCAGCATTTCAACAAGTTTTTGATATAATAAAAACTCAATTTAGATACCGTTATTAATCTGCTGTAAGTTTTAGTTTGTTTGAATTTATTCATGATAATTATTGTACAAAATGGTATAAGAATGCAAACATTAAGATCTGTTCTGTTTAAATTGATTATAGTCTATCAGTAGTGTTGCAAACTAGTGTTGCTTGCATCCTATTTTAAAGGCATTTATTTGTATACTCTAATAAAATGCAACAAAAAATGGGTTTGATTCTATTAATGTTGTCTTTTTTATTGCACTGTTGCTGCAGCAGATTACTGTGTAGCTTCAGATCTGAGTTGTCTTATTAGTAAGCCTAATTTATACTTTTGTAGCAACACTATTTTTATATAATGGCAAAGAAAGGGTTCTTCAGAGTCTTTTCTTTTTTTCCTGTGTCATATGTGGCAGCACTGCCACAAGTTCCTCTTCAGAGAGGGTCTTCAGTACAGGTGGCAATATTATCACCTGCGCTCATCTCTGAAACCAGACCATGTAAACAGGCTGGTATTTCTTGCAAAAAATCTTTAAGAGATGACATGAGCAGCCCTACCAGCATTTGCCATGGTGGCCTAAACATTTTTATTTGGTCTTAAATTGTAGTTCAACATTTATTTCCTGTTACTTCTGGACCATGACGGTTGGCCAGCCTTCAACGTTTAACTGAGTGGAATATGTTGAATATGTTTTACCAAAATGTTGGCTATATGTTAAGGAGTTTTCAGTAGGTTGTGACAGTGCACTGCATCATATTTGATTTCATTTATTTTGGTCTAATTTATTTTTATTTATCATATTAATATATGTTTAGTATGGTTTTGGAAGTGCGCTCCAACACATTTATTGATCTTGTTTATTGGTAAAATATTATTTGTTTTAAAGTTCAATGAATAATCGTCAAAATAATCGTGATATCAATTATTGACCAAATAATCGTGATTATGATTTTTGCCATAATCGCACAGCCCTACCTCATACAGAGAAGTTCTGTAATGCAATGTTTTGTGCAGTGAGCCCATTTGTCTATTGTTTGCACTTAATGCACTGAGTTTATGCAGCCATACTTGAGGATGTCAACACTGCACATTTATTTTTTATTTAATTGTTTAGTTTCATTTGAAATGTCACAACTGCTCTAAATGTGAATGTTTGCTGCATGTAACATGTTTACACTGTTGGTAAAAGCAACAGCACTTTATTCAAAATGTCCATCAACAATGGATTTTTAGAGTTTTCCAATAAAAGCAACACATTTGTATGAATCAATACGTTGTTTGTAGTCATTTTTATAGATTTTTTATAACTCCATGGGTATTGAATGTACACGCTTTCAAGTGTTAACTATTAACACTATTATAGAGTTCACATTAAAATTAACTCTAAAGTGGTAGTTGTATTTAATAACTTGGGAGTCGTTTTTTGACTCCCACAAGTGTTCAGGTTTAACTCCTGAAAAGGGTTAAAGATCAACTCCAAGAAAAGAGTAACTTTAACTCTGCCGTTGAGTTTATTAGATGGTCTCACATGTACAGTTTATTCCAAAGGCCATAATTTGCTGTGTACTGACATATTAAATGTTTCTTATCTTATTACAGCCAACCCAAACACGTTTAGCAAACTGTTGACTTCGAGACAAAGGAACCGGAAGTATTATTATAATGCTAACTAATTTCTTCTTAAAGGAAAAATACTATTACTGCAGGCCTGCGCAACAGAAACACATTGTACACCATTATTTTTGTTTTATTGAATGTGAATTACTGAAATATTTAATGAACATAACCTCTCACAACTGCCTAATCATTATGTCGGTTGACCCAGTTCAATGGAAATCCAATAACATTAACAATCAAATAGACAGAGTGTTGCAGTTTTTCTTACTCTCTGGTCCAAATATATTAAACATGTTGACTGACTTAATTCACATGATATGTGTGTGTTCTTAGCGTAGTCTATTTCCCTGGAGTCCCTATGTGTTTTATTCATAACCCTCTTGAGTGACCCTGATTTAATGAATGGCTGCCATTTATCTTGCTAGCTTTTATTTGAAGTTGATTTGTCACCTGGAGGTCTCTACATGACTTCCACTTCAAAGTTTATTTATACAATATTAGATTATTAACACTCACCTTCTCTATCAAACTGTCTGACTCCATCTGTCTCCCTCCCTTTCTCTGACCCAATTAACCACAAACTCTACCACACAGAGGATGGTTAATATAATAGTGAGATCTCAGTGTTGTTGAATGTTTATCTCATCGGATGCTCAGATGATGTGGCTGGCTTACTTTGAGACTACACGCACACACACATACACGGAAATGTAAGATAACGCACACATACACACAAAATTGCCTTGTCTTATCATGAGCTATACTTGCAGTACTTCAACAATAAGTCATAACCAATTATCTGCTAATGATAAGAAATATCTTTGTTATCAAGACCCTTTGTGATATGACAAAATGGAAAAAATATCCCAATAGAGAGACGAAGTCCCTCCCCTTCCGGGGGAGCTCCATGGGACCTTATTGAGGAAAAATTATGTATTGAAGTCAATGGAGAGAGAAAGATTATCTTTCGATCCCGTTTGAATTGTGCCACGAATTACACATATGATTTTTTTCCGAAATAATGTCCCATAGACTGGAAGTAGATGGGCGTGACTTTGCCACTCTATAGACGCCGGAGGCGGGCAGCGTCAGGTAAATAAAGTTATTTAGCCTTCCCAAACCTGAGCCTGAGCCTCACACTATGTATATAGGGCTATCTCTATAATCCAATGAGGGAATCCTATTGCTTTCTTTTCTTGGGACCCCTTGCGATGCTAACTTGCAGGTCGGCCCACAAAAATACACCATTAATGCACAACTATATTATCAAATAGCCTCTACCATCACTTTAAAAGCTCACTAAGTAACATGTTGTACTAGTTATAATAAATTGTACACAGACAGTGACTTCCTAGGGTTAAAAACGTCAAATGAATGAGTGTTATGATCAGAAACGGTAATATAAAGGACCAGCCATCACACAAGATGGTTAAAATTGCTCCTAAATTGTTTTGGCAGAAAGGTAAGAATTTCTGTGAACTGACTTCAAAGAAGTTACAATGAACTGAATTATAGAAAATGTATAATTAATAAATAAGTACAAATTACCTTCTGGTTAACATTATAGGCAATTGGACATTCAATCAAAGAGTTACTCTGTGTTATAATAAATACAATTAAATATAACAATGAATAGTATGAAATACATCAAATGAACCATAATGAAGTATACTGCCAACTGTATTTCAGATACAAATAATTATTGTTGATTTGTTTGTGATACATTTGTCAAACTTAATAATAAAGAATACATTTTAAAAGACCAATTTGTCTTCACAATGAGAGTTCCTCAACTTTCCCAACATTGGTCACGCTTGTAATGATCATATGCATTAAAAGGTAAAATCAAACTGTTATGCAATTTTAGAGATATACAAATATAAAGATATAATGTATTAGCATAGCCTGAACATATTATTATATCATTTATAAGCTTTAAGCCCAACGGTAGCGGCCGGATTTAAGAAGTAAAATAAATAGTTCTCTCTGTAATGACTTCTTTATATGTACACTTCTTTAA